ACCATCAACTGGTGCTTTACATAAATATTAACAAATTGAAATATCCCCCCACCACCATGAGTTTATACCAATGTGATTTTGAATAGAAATATCTCCCACCATGGTTAATGTAGACCAGTTTGATTGCTAAGCTCTCAATAATTCATTGACTTGATTGAGCCTTTTTGTTTAATTTTTCACAGTCTTGGAGCATCTTAGTATTTCTAGAACCAAACATTCAAAAAGTTAGACTCCAGACTTTTAATCGTTGCAGAAAGTTATGAAGATGAGATAACTAAATAAAATTCAATCTATTATGTAATTAATTGTTGCTGTATGCCTTCAGGGTGTTTCCAACTTATGGAAACATCTCTGTATGAGAGTATGTGACTCCCTAAGACTATCCATGGAGTTTCCATGGCCAAGCAGGGAATCAAGTCCTGGTCTCTGGAATCTCGAATACTCAAACTGCTACACCATGGGGGCTCTGACTATGCTGGTTTTGTAGTGGAATAAAATACTGTAATGTTTAAATTCTGTATCCTACCTAAATAAATACAGTAATCCTTGATCTTAATGAAACAGGTACAGTAACCTGAAATCTGTTAGATTTGTTTTCATTTGACTTGGTACATGTTTTTAGTCAGCATTTTAGAAGATATTGGTGTGAAATTTTCACTGGTTCTTAACTTTAGGCAATGATGTGCAATAGCATATTGACTATCGGAGCTATGCTAATTTTTAAAAATGATAAACCATGAAAATGTATGGTGAAAATTTGAAGTAGAGCATTTGGGTCCAGAAAGTTGGTTTGGAAATACTAAAACTTGAATAAAGGGCAAAGACCAGTACAATACTTGGGAAAGCCGCAGTGTTCTTACAACATCAGCTTCGTCTGTGTGACCTGACCCTTTTCCAAATGGAAAGTCATTAAAGCAACTTCTTCTCACATGAAAATAGTAGCACTTCAAAACATCATAAACTGTGTGAAGTGTGGCACTCTGGGAACACTTGACTTTTGAAATGGGACAAAGTCTTACAACACCATGGCGCCTGACTGCTAGGTTAAGCAGTTAACTTTTATTACTTTCTTCCAAGTTCTTTCTCTCTTTCTCTTGGCTGACTTTTTCTTTTCTGAGTAGAACTTTGGCATAGGTGTTTGGTGAAAACCAAGTTTACCACCAACTGAATGTAATCTGATGGTTAATCTCATTCTATTAATTTTACCTTTTCACAAAACTTATAGTGTATTAATTTCTTAATTTTGAATTAGACATCTGTCATTAGCACAATATTTTGGAACATTTTTACCGCACTAGTACCATGTTTCAGATACAACTTCTACAATTGTTATTTCTGCTGAGTACATTTTCTTTTTGGTGCTGGGAGGAAATGTTTTTGATCAATCAGAATACCTCACCAATATCCCATGTTACTCTTGGTGGCCACATAACAGAAACTCGTGTATTTGAAGGCACACTTTGCATGAAGGTCTACGCTATCCAAACATAGGTTGAAGACTGAACAAAAAAAAAACCCTATATGAAGAGAGAATAGTGGCTTTGAATTTACCCATCAGCAATTACCTACAGGCTACAGGGATACCTCAGTTAATAACACATCAGCATTATTAACTGAGGTATACCTGTAGCCTGTAGGTAACTGCAGTGAAACTGAAACGGAAGCCTGCCTTCAGGGCTGAGAAAATGCTTGGAGATTACCTTGATGAGTTTACATTTTGTTAAGGTGGGAGCAAACTACATTGCACACATTATGCAGTGAAACTAATGGTTAAAATTGAATCATAAAGCAGTTTCCATCAGTGTGCTACAACTTTTTAAATCTTATTTAATTCACTAATTTGTATCTTCAAGAACATATTTCCCCCTGATTGTGTTTAGCTCTGTTACTACAGCACATTTGTATTTGTGGTGCTATTTTTTCTTCTCAGCATAAAGGGCAGCCCAACAAGTTTAAGTATTACTTGGCCAGTATTATATGTTATGCTTTCCCCCACCGTTTTGGATCATCAAGTATTAATATTCAGCCAAAATAATGAAGAGGAAGGATTTTGCTTGCTCTCTGTCCTATGCACGCACATACACATCCAAATACTGACTAATACTGGGCCTTGGGGAGGTCTTTAAATTTAAGTGCTCTTGGATACTTAAATGTGTTGGAGATCTCTGCAGAAACAATTAAGTTGAGAAAATAACTTCTGTAAGGCCAGACCTCTTGAGGTATGCTTATTGGCAAGTGTGTTTCCTTTGGGGCTGTATTGTTTTCAGAATCAATTTGATTCTGAGCCCTTGCAAATGTTGTTTATTTCAGTTTTGTATTAGAGGCAAGCTACAAATTACAGATTTTTATTTAGCAGCTATTGCTTGAACTGAATGAAAATTGGCAGTGAATTAAAATGTAATAATAAACAAACATATCATTATCTTAGATCTTTGTTCTTTGAATTCTGAATTGGGATTGGGGTGATTTATTTTGTACGCACACTTTCAAACATTTTAAGGTAGTCCTACAGTTGTTGGTTGTTTGGCATATTAAGGATATAATAAAAACTGCTAGTTCTGGAGAGCGTTATCAAAAACCAGCCAAGCTTCTTGCTGTTAGGTACAGTTATCGTCATATTGGTCTTTTAATTCAGTGTGATTTGTTACCATGTACTGTATATACTCATGTATAAGTTGATTTCATGCATAAGTTGAGGACAAGGTTTGGAGCAAAAATCATAGATGTTTATATGACCCATGGATAATTCAAGGGTCATTCTGCAGAGAGAGGGAAGTGCCAGCATGGTTTAAGTGTTCACCTCTCGCCACTGCCATTTCCCTGCTCTGGCACTGAAAAGGGCCTTTTGCCATTGTGCTCAGCAAAGAGGATGGACCCTTTTAAAATAAAAGTTAAGACACAGTATTGACTCCTGTATTTTAAAAAGGAGCCATCCCCTTCTCTTTTTAGAATGGTGAAAGGTAAGAGTTTACTTCATTGTGAAAGAACCTAAAAAAAGTACCAGCCTCCTCTACTTTCCTGGCACTTCATTGAGAGGCTGCATCAAAGAGCCACTGCCGCCATTTGCCTGCCCAAGCATTCAACAAGACAGAGAGGATACAGGGGTCTGATGCTTTTTTTAAGGATCTCCTGAGATGGACTAAGCTTTCACCTTTCTCCACCCTATTCAGAAAAAGGAATGGTTCTTTTTCTGATAAGAGTTGACTTTTCCACCGATCGGTGTACAGACAGTCCCCAATTTACAAACAAGATATGTTCTGTAGGTTTGTTCTCAATTTGAATTTGTTTGTAAGTTGGAACAGATACATTTTAAGTGTCACTCCAGCCATACATCTATATCTATGTCTCTTTGGATAGCATAGGGAAGGGTTAACACATCACAGTGGTGTTTGTTTTGCTGTCTGTGTCCCTGTTCAGAAGATTTCACCTCACTTGCTGTCCCTGTGATAATTGGATTTTGAAAAAAATGGCTTGTTGTGGAAACAAGGATTGGTGATAAAGCTTCAGTGGAGATGTGTTTTCCCCATGATAATGCTTTCAGGAGTGAATTTACCTTCCTAGATTTCTCTCACATCCTGTTTTCTCATCCCCATTCTTAACTATGAGTCATTTGTAAGTTGGATGTTTGCAACTTGGGGACTGCCTGTAGTTACACTGATCCGTGGATAAGTTGACCCAAAGTTTTTCGGGTTGATTTTGTGAACTGAAATTTCTGGATGTATAAATATATACAATGATTTTCAGCTTGCAACACAAATCAGTTTTGACTAAGTGTCCAATGTTACTGACACATGAGTAGAAAGCAAGTATAATAACCAGAGGGTCTACTAAGCTATAGAGTTAATCTATGGAATGCCCTCCCCAGAGACATTTGCTTGATATCAATATTGCTATTTCTTAAACAGACAAAACTCTTTTTATTAACCCAAGACTTTACATTTTAGCTTTTAAAGAAATAAAGCTGAGTCTGTTTTTATTTCTGCTGGGGTTCAACATCATGTTTGTTGTTGCTGATATGTGCATGAAATTGAAATGAAGGTTGATATACAGTAAATAAATTGGTAAATAAATACTAAAAAATCCAGAATGGGCCTTCAATAGAAAGGTGACATTTTTAGTTCAGTTGTGATCAGCCTACTTGTAACACGGGTTTCCTTGTAAGATGTGAATACATCCAGTACCCTTAAAGTCTCTAGATGTAGTGTTGTAAAATATATATTTTGAAATAAAAAATAACAGATTTTTTTAAAAAAACAAAAGTTTTAAAAGAGACACGGGAGAAGAGAAATGAGGGGAAGGTACTCAAGCATCTTGAAAATAAGAAGAGAATGAGGGATTAGACAGACCTGTCATAATTCACATGATCACTAAATATGTTGATTAAAAGAAAACATTTATTTTTCAAGCAGGAACAAAATATTTGAAGTAGCCTGAATCATTGTATGTTTGAAAAATGCTATTTGGATCTTTACGAACTATATGGGACACAAGCAATCCATATAGCCATGTTTGACCTATCTGGAACAGCTCAGTATTTCCTGTTGCAATATTTTATTTTAGTCTTAGAAGTGTGTGGCACTTACTACTTAAAGCGGGTAAAGGAAAAAGGTGTTTTAAGACTTCTGCATGCAATTTTATATTTCTGTAAGGAGTAATCTGTCCCTAGTCTCAAGCAAGGAGGAAGTGAGAATGGAAGATATAAAGGCAGGCGGACTGAAAGAGAGGGAGATGTGTAAAAGCAAAATGGCAGAAAGATTAAAGAGGATGTCTTTGTCCACCAGCATTTTGTGATCCCCAACAGGTTGCTCCAAGGGACTATGGCCTAGGATGGAAAGCGTGTTCTTGTATTCCTGTCATTCTCTCCAGCATTGATCTTAATTGTAATCTGCATACTTTGTTCCATCTTAATGTTTTGTAGGCAGTGAGAGACAATGTTAATATTTGAAATTTTATCTTTGGCACAAATGTGGTATGAAAATGTTTTTCATGATTCTTTGCAGGCACGATGGTTCTGGGAAGCATATTTTCAGTCAATGAAAGCAATTGCTATGGCTACCCTCAAAATTATCAATGACCGGATTTATCCCTATGCTGCCACATCATATGAAGAATGGAATGACCCCCCAATAATTGTAAGTGGAATTGGATTTTTCTTAAATTTAACATGTTGGGCATCTTTTAAAAGGAAGTTTCACAAAATGATTTTCTCTTTTTATTTTGATATTTAAGAAACACAACTTAAAAGGATTTAAAAAACAACCTACATCCCTAAGAAGGAATTGAGTGTATTAGCTTCTTATACAATTTAATCAATTACATTAATAACTTATTTACGCTTAAAATAATGTTTTAAATGGCTTTAAAAATATTTTACACAGGAAGAGTGAAGGAAAAGACACTTCTAGTTAGACTTAATTTATCCAGTTACTCTATTTACTCTTGTTATGATCCACTTTGATACATTGCAGACCACCTCCCTCCTCCTCCTCTTCTCCTCTCTTCTCTTCTCTTTCTCCCTGTGGTGACTCAAGGCAGCTAACATTCCACACCAGGCAAGTTTAAAAGGTGCAATAAAAAAGTTAAAAAGCGATTAAAAAGAAGTTAAATAATAGCAGTGCGGTAAAAACAAAATGAAAATAAAATACATACATTAAAATTGCATTTAGAAGTCATAGTCCCCGTCCCCCCCCCCCCCATCTCACTCACAGCACTCTTTGAATTAAAAACCACAGCACCCCTTGACTATATCTTAAACACCTTCATCGTTAAAAGCCTGCCTGAATAAGAAGGTTTTAGCCTGCTGCGAGAAGGACGGCAGGGAGTTCCAGAGTCACCGAGAAGGCTCGCTCTCTTGTTCCCACCAACCAAGCTTGTGTTGGAGGTGGGATTGAGAGAAGGGCCTCTCCTGAAGATCTCAAGGCCCGGGCAGGTTCGTACAAGGGAATGTGGTCAGCCAAATAACCTGAACCTGAACTGTCTAGGGCTTTAAAGATCATAACCAGCACTTTGAAATGTGCCCAGAGACTAGCAGCCAGTGGAGCTGCTGCAACAGGGAGGTGTTCCGCTCCCTGCAGCCAGTCTCAGTTAGTAACCTGGCTGCAGCTCTTTGGACCAGCTGAAGTTTTTGAGCACTCTTCAGAGGCAGCTCCACATAGAGCACGTTACAGTAATCCAGACAGGATGTAACTAAGGCATGTACCACCATGGCCAGATCTGGCTACTTAAGGAACAGGTACAGTTGGTGCACAAGTTTTAATTGTACAAATACCCTCATGGCCACCTCTGAAACGTGGGCCTCTAGGTTTAGTGTCAAGTCTAGGAGGACCCCCAAACTGTGGACCTGTGTCTTCAGGGGGGAGTAACCCTACCCAGCACTGGGTGAATCCCTATTCCGTGATCTGCCTTCTGACTGACCAGGAGTACCTTTGTCTTGTCTGGATTAAGTTTCAATGGGTTTGCCCTCATCCAATCCATTATTGATGACAAGCACTGGTTTAGGGTCAGGATAACTTCCTTGGCATTTGGTGGAAAGGAGTAGTAGAGTTGGCTGTCATCTACATATATGTGGCACCTTACCCCAATACACCAGATGATCTCTCACAGCAGTTTGATGTATATGTTAAACAGCATGAGGGACAAGATGACACCCTGAGGAACTGCACAGGTCAATGGCTAGTGGTTCGAATAGGAGTCCCCCAGCCATCACCTCCTCCAGGAAGGACCGGAGCAACTGTAAGACAGTGCCTCCCAGTCTCATCCCAGTAAGACAAACCACAAGGTTACCATGCTCAATGGCATCGAAAGCCGCTAAGTGATCCAGGAGAACCAACAGAGACGCCATCCCCTGTCAAGCTCTCTTTGTAGAGCATCCACCAAGGTGGCCAAAGCTGTCTCTGTTCCATAACTAGGCCTGAAACCACAATGAAATGGATCTAGATAATCTGTTTTATCCAGAAATCCGGGAGTTGGGAGGCCATCATATGCTCCAAAACCTTGCTCAGAAAGGGAAGGTTGGACACTGGCCAATAGTTGTCCATTATAGAGGTGTTCAGTGATCGCTTTGTAAATATAGGTCTCACAACTGCCTCCTTTAGGCAAGTTGGAACTTTGCCTTGTTCCAAGTAGGCATTGACCACTACCTTCACCCAGACTGCCAGTTCTCCTTTGGCCTGTTTGATCAACCAGGAAGGGCAAGGATCTGGAATATATGTGGTAGCTCTCATCTCACCAAGGATCCTGTCCACATCCTCAGGCTGCGCAAATTGAAAGGTATCCATCAACACTGGACAAACAGGGGCCAAAGTTACATCCATTGGAACTGTATCAATAACAGCATCTAGGTCGGAACGGATCTGTGTCACTTTATCTGCAAAGTGCAGATAATTTATATGCAGAAAGTGTCATATGGAAAGAGAAATTAGACTTGAAGGAAGGATGTGGAGCATAATTAGTTTAAGATATACAGAAGATGCCATATTACTTAATAGGTAATAGCAAAATCTTAAAGTTGCCATTGATAAACATTAAGGGAGAGTGCAAAGCAGAAGTATAGTTGAATATAAAGAAACAAGAATAAAGATCATGGATGATTTTCCTAACTTAAAGGTAAACGATGAATAGTTCAAATATTTTCTATAGTTTGGCTTACTTACCAGTCAGAATAGAATCTGCAGTCAAGAAATTAGAAGGCCAGGAAGGGTAGTTGAACCAGATCATATCATTAAATACCAAAGAAAGAATTATTCATGTCATCATGTTTTCAATTTGCAATTCTGTTTTTGAAGAACGCTGACAGACGGAAAATCAACTTATTTGAAATATATTTCTATAGAAGAGTTCTTCAGTTTGTGCCAGGAATTGCCTTCAGTGATCTTGTACATTCTAATGTATTTTGAAGCACTTGTCACCAGTGACTTTTGATATAAGCCTCTATAAACTCACAGACAGTTCCCAAGTTATGTACAAGATGGGTCCTGTAGATTTGTTCTTAAGTTAAATTTGTATGTAAGTTGGAAAGGGTACATTTTAAGTGTAATTCTATAGCAAAAAAAAGTTTTAGTTTTGAATACATAGGAAAGGGTTAATACCCCTTTAATGTTTGTGTTGCTGTCTGTGCCTCTGTTTAGAAGATCCGTCTCCCCTCACCCCAGCCAACACTGGTGGGCAAGCAGTAAGTTGGAATTATTTACCCCTTTCCCTGATTGATTTTAAATTTGGCATAACTGTAGAGTTTGTGGGACCGGAGAAAAGCAAGTTGATGACCATGGTCCTTGGAGGTCTCTCATTCATAGCTTCACCATAAATCAACCTTATATCAAATGACAATAAAACAAAGTCCATTGAAAGTTAGAAATCTGTTGCACTTGGCCATAAAAACTACCTGTGGATCAGTAGTTCCCAATCTTTGGTCCTCTAGTTGCTTTGGACTTCAGCTCCCAGAAATTCCAACCAGCTTACCAGTTGTGGGAGCTGAAGTCCAAAACTCTTGTAGGACCAAAGGTTGAGAACTACTGCGTACATAAATGAATAAGCAAGTGCCAATCTAAGCTTTTTGTATTTCTAGTAGATTTCTCTCTAACTTTCCTGTTTTTGTCTACTAATTCCTGCAGGTCTTTAAAAAAAGCCTTTTTGGTTCATAGTTCCCCTCCTTCTCCTCTTCCTTTTACCTGTGTTCCTAGCCACAATCACTGATAGGATCTTAATGTTGACTTGTTGTTGTCTGTTTTTATTCAGTTCCTGAATTTAAAAAGTACACCATTATGAAACCGTTAATAGGTTTAAAAATATATTTATAAACAAATTATTGGGAGAGATACCATATTGCATTCTCGCTTGATGGTCTGAAAATTTCTCTGTGACTGATATTATCTTCCTTCTGTAGTCAGATCCAGTCAGATCTAACTATCTTTGGAGAAGCTAATTCTGCATCTTCTTGTGATATATTCACAATTTCTATGTTGATTCTTAAAACAGATTTGTATTGCAGTTAAGAGGGGTGTGAGTTTCACTTAGGCAAAGGAAAAAGATTCTCTCTTAGCAAATGGAAATTTTAAAAGAGGGTTTCTTTGGCTCATGGCAGTCTCACACAAATGAGTGGCTTTGTAGGGGAATATCCTATTTTAAAAATCTCACCAAAGTGAGAACTCTTTCCCAGCCTTCCACTCAGGTTCTGGCTTCCACTGATTTGGCTTCTGCTGCTGTCTGCGGAAAGGAGACCAGACTGCTGTCAAACAGCCAAGAATGTCAGACCAAGCAACATGAGATCACTTTTGCAAAGTTGACACTTGAAACCTGATATGGCTTGTGCATAAAACTGATTCACAATAGTTAACATCTAAATCTTGGGTTAATTACTGTGACTTTTGTCATGAAAATTAGCTGGCTGAGAAAAGGCGAAGTTGGATAGGATTGCTTTAGCCATAGCTGGGCATCATCACTTTGTCAGAGATGGTGATGGATGATTATGACTTTGGGACCAGTTGATTTGGTGAGAACGTACAAACCGCCATTCAGTCAAGTGTCCAATAAAAGACTGATGTGACCAAAACAAATGTTTGTTGTATCATTTGTGTCATTCTCTATTTTTGGGAAGACCATTTCTCACATCACTAACAATTTCATGCCCCGAGTGGATAATAGGTATTTAATTAGGCTTCTGTTGAGTTGATTACTTGCATTGTTTGCCTTCCTCAAACAGAAGTCTAAAGGACACAAGTAAATCATGGAGATCTGAATTTGCCCAATTTCCTGCCGAAAGTGAGGTCAAGAGGTGCCAGACTGTAGACACACTTTTCAGGCAGACAGCAGGGGGCTGGCTCTTAATGGTGCTTCAGCAATGTCTAAATGCCCTTTTGAAATGTTATTCTCAAATGAGGGAGGCTGATTTTTTTGGGTTCACTGTTGGATGTCATGGCAGTAGAGCATTCTTTTTCACCTAGCTCAGCTATTCTTTACCAGCACCACAAGAAATAATGCCCCTATGTTGTGTAAAAGAGGCTTCATAGGAGAACACATGTCTTGGAGAGCACATCTCACATGAAGCATTCTAATGAAGAAATGGAACATCTGGCTGTACTTTAAATCTTATTATTGAGATGCTCATGTCTCATAATTCAGAAATTTGAGAGAAATTGCGAACTACACTGACATGAATTTCTATCACAGTCATAGAACCAGTAAGTAAAATGTTAGCATCATGATATGGCCCATTTCAGAGACAAAGATATTGATCTCAATAATAGTGCAGCAAGGGGACTTAGTCCATTGTTAATAGCTTTGAAATGAATTATAGAGCATTAATGTCAGAACTACAGGATTACAACCTGCAGTAAATTAAGCCATTTGCTTACTGCATCTGACAATCCTTCTGTTGCTTATTGCTAGTCATCATCTACCCTTTACTGTATTGATCATACATGCATTTCTTAATGAGCTGAAGAACCAGAAACACTTTGTGGACACTTCTGCCCAATTTCTCCTCACGAATTTACATAGCAAATGTATCTTTAAGTAAACACTCCAATTTATCATTGAATTTTAGTAGCTTGAAAAAGACAGTGCTCCTTGTAATGTTTGTTTGGAAACTATGAGGAATATGTTTGGCAAATCCCATTCATTGCTACACAAAGATACTGGGTTATATTATATTTTTACCATCTTCTGCAAATATGTCAGCTCACTTGTTTTTGGAAAATGTAGATCTAGTCATGTGTTGCTAATTTTGTGACTGAAAATCCATCCCTACTGCCTTGAAGTTAATTCTGGCACTCGCTTAAAGTATGGCATTTTTGAAAAGGTTCAAAGATGTCCTCCTTAAAGGTTACATTAATGAACTCTGGTTCTGTCCATAGTTTTTTGTAATAGGACCAATACTAAAAATTCTCTAGGCATCTCATTAATTTATCTGCTCTTTCTACCATTATTAAATTATTTCTCATTTCTGTTGTCTTAGTCTTTAACAATTCCTGGACTGTAATAGACTGTGGAAAAGGCATACTCAAAACTTTTCCTGTTTTGAATCCATTTTACAGTCCCATTTGCTCCTAGATGTGTAGCTGTGTCGACTTAATTACCTTTCTTTAATTGGTAGTATTTAAAAGCATATAGCCAACTTAAAACTAAAAAGTGTTTAGGGCATATTCTTGTCAAAAATAAGGTGGAAGGAAACACTGAATTTCATATTCTCCTTTCTTGATTATTTTTTATGCTTAAACAGCGGACTGTTTAAAACCATATTAACAGAACTATTTTTGTTTAAGCTACCATCTGAATAAAGGAATAAGTCCTTTATATTTGTGCCCATTTTATGTCACATTTATAAATTTTCTTCTCTTTACTTCATTTCCCCCCCAGAAATCATGGTATTGGGCTGGCTTTTGGTTTGTTGTCCTAGTCTGACTTAATATAAAATCTAAACTCTTTTGGAAAGAGAGATGCGGAGGAGAACCATGCCAGGGACATCAAATCCTGGAACCCTCTGGTGTACCTTCCTCTGATCTTTCTTTTTGTGTTACGTCCAACATACCTGAACACACTTAGTGGTTAACTTATGACAGGAAAATGCATACAATGTATGCTTAACAGATTGGTTTCCTGTCACAAAACAGACTCTTTTTTTCTCTGCCCTTCCCTCCAAATTAACATATTTTTAAAGTGGCCTGATCTGAGTTCCAACTATGCAAATCGTATTCCATCTTGATATTTCCTTATTATAGCTAAAATGTCCTTGTCTTGACCTCTCATCTTTTCTTTTACAGAAATGGAGCAGTGTGAGCAATCCACTCTTCCTTCCCTTGATCCCACCTCAGTCACAAGGCTTCACTGCTATTGTCTTGACCTATGATCGGGTGGAGAGTCTCTTTCGCGTCATCACTGAGGTCTCAAAGGTGCCAAGCCTCTCCAAGTTGTTAGTTGTATGGAACAACCAGAATAAAGTTCCACCAGAAGGTAAGAACATGAGTCTCTTAATAGCTTAGGATTGCATATGCCATTTTGGAAGAGAGTCAGAATGTAAGTAAAATGATCTGACTACCACTTTTAGCTGTGAAGTGGGCCCTTGGTATCTGCTGAGATTTGGTTCTAAGATACCAAAATTCATGGATTATCAAATCCCTTTATATACAATACCTTGATAAAGTGACGTCCCTTATAAAAAAATGGTAAAATCAAGGTTTAGTTTTTGGAATTTGTGTACAAAATATATCAAGCCATTGATGATTTAATCTGTGGGTGCAAAATCCATGGATATGGAAGGCCAATTGTAATACTAAAGCACCAAGATGTGAACAGGAAGAGCACTTGGGGAGATCTTATTTGTAAATATAATTCTCAATTATTTAAGGAATCTGTTTCTTTTAAGATTTTAGGCTCCCATGATCTCCTCCCATTAGCTGCAAGTTGGCACAGCTATGTGGATGACCTAAGATAGGAAAAACCGCTTCCTTTCAAAAGTTAATGAGCAGTTTTATGTTGGCTTGTTTTTGTTTTAGTGCCTGGATTTTTAACAGGCGTGGGTTGTATTGACATCTAAATGTATTAATTTAACCTGTATATAAATGAATTTATTAAAAATTTATTCAAGTCACTGATATATTTATTTGGTCCTATAACTTTTAAAAACTATTTCTGTTTTCCAGTGTCCCATGATCAGTTTTTCAAAATTGCAAACTAGATCACTTACTTGGCAAGTTGTGAGATATTACTATAAAAGGAAAATATGCACTTAAAATTAATGGAGGCCTCTCTTAACTCCAAACCAGCCACAGATATATTTGCCAGTGGAAGTTTTTCTTCTCTGCCAGACCAGTCATGAAATACTGACCAGTTATTTAAACAGCTATTCTCCATCTCATGGACAGCTCTGGTGCATCAGTGGCCTTTGCTTTTCTGAGCACCATTCATTACTTACTTAATTGTACCTGTAGACTGAATAAACTCAAAATAGTTTGCAATGAAAGAAAACTATTTTCCCATGAAATTTAAAGATAAACATTTCATTAAGTTACAGCTTTAACTACAGAATGTTGTATGAAATGTCTTCAAACAAATTGCTTGTTTAATTACCTTCTTTCTTTGTATTGCTAAAAGTTGCACATCTACATTATATTTGAGTTACTTCTGAGTTTGAACTGATTAAAACATATGATAGATAGCACCATCAGAATGTGAAATCTAACAACCTTTATAGTTTGCATGCAGAGTTTTATTTTATTGTAGACAGAGTAAGTAACATTTGAGTTAGTCCTTTTCAGGGCTCACTCTGGATTTATATCTAGCTCTATCCTCGCGTTTGGTACAGTACTGCAATTAAACAGAGGAACATGTGATTTCTGTTCGCATAGTGAAAAATGTAGAATTGATGAAACAAAAAAAGTGTTTCAAATGTATTGAGACATTTTAGAACATAACAGAATTTCTTGACGTGTATCTCCCTTTTGTTGGCTGGGATAAGAAAGGTTACTAAATTACTATCTACTGAGAATATAAGCCATCAAACTAGGGAGAAAATGAATTACTGAATCTAGTAATCTCTTTAAAAATTACCCAAACCATGACTTGCATAGTTTTGTAAAGGAGGCAGACTGTGACATATAATTCTGTTGTTGTTGTGTGCCTTCAAGACATTTCCAACCTATGGCGACACTGTCATGGGGTTTTCTTGGCAAGATTTGTTCAGATGAGGTATGCCTTTGCTTTCCTCTAAGGCTGAAAATACGTGACTTCTCAAGGTCACCCAGGGGGTTTTCATGGCTGAGCAAGGCTTCTAACCCTGATCTCCAAAGCCCTAGTCCAATGCTCAAACACTGCACCAACCTGGGTTAAGACATTTCAGGGAAAAGGTCATTCATGCCTGCATGATACAATCTGAATGGTATAAATTGTGCAGCACAGGTTGGAGGTGTATCCAAAATACTCTGTGGCCCAGTTTTATGTGGTTAATTGCAGTTATAATGAAGATGAAGTTATGCTTGCCCTTCTTGGCTTATTATATCTTGCCAAAAGAAGGAATTCCACCATTTCAGAAGAGGCAGTAGTGAGGGCACTCTTAAAGAAAGCTTTTCTGAACTCCTACTGTTGCAGCCATTATTGATAAGTACATGTGATACTTTTAAATACTTTAATAGTCTTAGTAAACATTGTGAAAATCACATTCTTTGGCAAGTGACTGCCAGGGAACTCCATTCACTATGATTGCTACAAGATTATCTGAATCCAGATTTTTTTTTTTACCATCATCAACAACTAAAGTATTTATATGCCAATTTATAAATACAAAATTTCTGCATAGTGACAGTAAAAGCATAAATAATTCAATTTTAAATGTATAAAATTAAAACATTTTTTTAAAAAATACATCAACAGCAATGGGTATGTGTTGGCTTAGATACAAACTGCCATGGTTGCTCAAATGACCATTATGGAAGAGGGAACACTGTTAGGGCTGTGTGCCTTCCCCCTACTTTTAATCTCCTATCAGGTTGATGGAAAGACTACTAGTGAAATGAATTCTTGGATTTGGAGGGGAAGTGGCAGCTGAAGCCTCCATGGAAGACCAGCATCAGCCACCGAGAAGGCTCTTTCGTGTGTCTTCTCTCCATGCAATGATATTGTTTCCAGGGCTCTTTAGGGGGTGATGTGAGATGGGGTGAGATGACTGCCCCATGGCTTTATGTGACTTGCATTAGAATTGCCTTTTGCCAGTGGTTGGAACAGCTCCACCGGCTCCTACTCTACTATTTCTGGACTCAGTTCAAAGTGACAGTGCTTACTTTTTAATCCCTTAGGGCAAGGGTCAGAGCTCCAAATGTTTTGCATGAAAACTGTCCAAATCCTTACTAGTGGCCATGTGGGCCCAAGAGTGGGGCTGATGGGGGCTGAAGTGATGTCATTTCAGATATCTGCATCTGAAGTATTTATTTTTCAAGAATGTTTAAGTCTCTTAAGCCACCATGGGAGGGGGATACCTATTGTGCTGTTTTTGTATTTTAGCTGCTGTTTGTTGTTTTTAAACTCTGGAATGTGCCCATGAAGGATGTTCTCTGAGCATCAGGTTAAATTGCTTACACTTCACTGCACATTTAACTGACTGTGGTCTGTTCTTATCTGGTGATTAACTCTTTAGTTATACTATATTGAAAAAAATATTGAAGTTATTCCTTGTTACATTGCAGTCATAGAGTATAGATGGAACAGGGTTTTCTGTGACTCAAAAAGCTAGGACATTGAACAATGCATTCAATCTGCAGAAAAAGAGATTCCACTTGAATATTAGAAAGAATGTCCTCACAATAAGAATGGTTTGACAGTGAAATACGCTGCCTCAGAGCATGGTGGAGTCTCCTTCTCATAGGGTTTTTAAAACAGAGACTGCTATTGAGAATGCTCTGATTTTTGTGTTCCTGCATGGCAGGGGGTTGGACTTTATGGACCTTGTGGTCCCTTCTAATTGTAATAATCTAAGGTGGAACTATTTGCAGCTTATTTGCTGTTTCTAATGTATTGTTTTGAGATTCTGAGAGATCTTTCTATAAAAAGACAATTAAGAAACTGGAGCAATAGAAACAAATTCATGCAATATATAAATGGATTGTACATTGATGGGTCTTAACTTGAAGCATCTTCTTGCTGTCTTTCAAATACATTCCACATTGTATGCTCGTTTTTTCAATTCTGAGATTTGGATGAAACCGTATTGTTAAGTATAATTCAACAACTCTGTTCATTATAATAGTTTGTAGTATAACCCTTCTTGGTTCATATACTATTAAAAACATCTTAAGTCATTGATGTGAAAAATAATTGGCCCCAAAGGTCATAAGTTTATTTCCTTACTGAGACATTTATCTAGCTTAACTTTCTAATAGGTATACATTTTAATAACTTTTGTATGTGACCGCTAGCTACCCCCTTCATGTATTTTTAACACTTGGATAGCTCGTGGAATCTTCTGGTCTGCTATTGAGGGGCTTAATTTAATTTGTTTTAATTCAAATGCATACAGTTTGTTCCACCTAGCTCTTTAGTAGGACAGCAGAATTTGGCTTCACTAAGTCTTTCGTTCAGTCTGTCTATTACGGTTCCTAATCCTTGGACTTCAAAGCTTCTGCCATTTATAGCCTATTAAAGCCAGGAAGTTTCTGATGGATTAGGACAAGGAATGAGTTTGAAGTTAGTAATGTACACCGCTGTCAGCGATAAGGTCTAGTTTATTACCTTATGGTAGTATCTGCACTTTTATGAGTATTCTCTTTTAATTGGTTATAGTAAATCTGGGACCCTTAACCTGTGTGAATATCAAATGCAGAATATCCTGGACATTCTTGTATAAGGAACCCATTTCAGTCTTTGAACAGAGTCAGGTGTAGATTTTGTTATGTGAACAAGTTGTGTTTTCGGTATGTATGGATGGCAGCAGGAATGAGAACATGTAAGGTAAATTCACTCTTCATAGCATGAAATAACCAGAAAACTGAACATTGCTATTGCTATTTGGCTCCATCTGTGACAGATATATAGTCACTTAGCTTATCCCTTTCATCACCATCTCACTTCTTCATTGCTGGACCCATAATAACTTCATAAATGGACTGTTCTCTTTGTGTATTACCACTGCTCAATTTGTAACTCAGTAGTATAATAAAAATATTTTGCAGCTTATAAAAAGTGAATGAATAGAAGCAAAAATGTTAAATATATGGTTAAAGCCCTTTCAAAATATTTATAGCCACTTAACTATTTCAACTGCCTTGAAATATTGGGAGAAAGGTGAGAGAAAAATAAAGTAAGTAAGTAATTAAATATTTTGCGCTTCATCTTTTCAATTTTATTTTAAAACATAATAATGTGAATAAACAAGGCCTTGGAAATAATACATCACATTAAAAAGATCATGAGAAATTTTGGTGGACACATTTTCCAGTACAAGAGGTCTGTAGTTCTAGTTATTT